TGGAGAACAGATGCAACGTGTGTTAGTACCAGAGGGAAGGTTGGAGTCATCAATCATAGGTATAGTAGATTCATGTTTAAGTGTATTTGTACCTGAGTGGATTTCTGTAAGAGTTGGATCTAGTTCTGACTCTTGGATTGGTGTTGGATGTCTTGGGTGGTCTATGTGTTTGTTGGCATGGGAGGTGGTGCAAGAATGGGCGACGAGTTGGACACTTGAGAACTAGACGGAGACTGATTGTTAGGTACATTTTCATGTGAGTTGGATGAAAAGACTGATTGTTAGGTACATTTTCATGTGAGTTCGATGAACTTGTTGAATCCGAGTCAGGAGATAATGAGTTCTGTTCAAGTGATGAGGATGTGGTGTGTGGTGGTATGAATTCGTTGTCCCCCCAAGACTGATATTCCCTTAAAGTCTCCCCCTGAATATTAAAATTGGGGTAGTGAGATTGATTTTCAAAGAATGTGACATTCATAGTGTTGTAGGTTTTTCTTGTGAGAGGATAGTATCACTTATACCTTTTTTGAAGAGGTGAGTAGCCAAGAAAAATACATTTAGTAGACTTGAGGTCAAGTTTGCTGCGATTGTGTTAATGAATGTGAACAAAGGAGGAGCAGTAGGTAGACTTTAGGTAATTGCCTTGGTGCGGGGAAATGATTTGAGAAGGAGTTGGACTGGACTTTAAAATTTGAGGATTCGAGAAGACATCCTGTTGATGAGGTAGGCTGCAGTAGATACAACATTACCCTAAAAAACCTTAGGCACGTTAGAGGAAAACATGAGGCAGCGGCCCACCTCGAGCAGGTGACAGCTCTTGCGTTCGATGATCTCATTTTGCTGAGGAGTGTCGACGCAAAAACTGAGATGGAGGATGCTTTTAGAGAAGAGATAAGAGCCGAGGACGGAAGCGATGTACTCCTTTGCATTATCAGTCTTGAGTGCTTGGATGGAGGTTTGGAATTGTATTTGGATTATTGAGTAAAATTGTTTAAATATACGACTAACTGCAGATTTATCTTTCATAAGAAATAGCCACATTAGTCGAGTGTGATCATCAATAAAGGAGACAAACCATCGAGTCCCGGTAAAAGTTGTAATAGTGGATGAGCCCCAGATATCGTTGTGAATGAGTGCAAATGGTCGGGAAGAGGTGTAACCAACACGTGAAAATGACATGCGAGTATGTTTAACAAGTTGACAAAATTCACATTGAAAAGAACGAACATCTTTATTGATAAATAAATTTGGAAATAGTTTTGCAATATAAATAAATTTTGGATGGCCGAGACGAAAATGCCATAACATGATCTCAGAATTTTTATTGACACTAGAATTTAAGACAGAATGATGTGTAGAAAAATGTCCGTAGCGAGGTCGTGGTGGTGAAGTATCGTTGATGACGTACACGACATGTAGTCATGGAGGAGGAAGGCATCACCAGTCATGTGATGACAAGCGTCAGAATCGATGATCCACTGACCGAGGGATCCTTGATTGACTGTGAAGGCATGGTAGAACGTACCTTGATGCGCAAACAGACCGAAACAAACCGATGATGGGGTCGGGAACAGCTAGATCAGGTGGTTTGCCGATCTGTTTGTGCAACAAATCTAGTTGCTCTTTGCTGAATGGACTTGGCGCTGGTGCAGGAAGGTCATCGACACCGACGACGCTGTTGGCACGGGGAGCGCGATCAGATCGAGACTTCCAATCGGTTGGCTTTCCATAAAGCACCCAACATGTGTCTTTATTATAGCCTGGTTTACGGCAGTGGTCGCACCAGGGATGACCCTTGCGTGATGAGTTGTCTCTATATCGAGATGGAGGAACCCGAACTGCAAGGGTGGAGGCGTCAACGGAGAGATTGGGCGAGGTGGAGATAGGCCCAATCATGACTTTCTGAGCGGCTAAGCGACTTTCTTCACGACAAACCTCGGAGAAGGCCTCGCGAATGCTCGATAGTGGTTTGAAGCCTAATATACGAGAGCGGACACGATCAAGAGAGTTGTTGAGGCCGAAAAGGAATTTGAATATCCTTTTCTGCTTGATGATCTGAGTATAATTTGGAGTCCGGAGTGCATGACCAGGCATGAACTTCATACATGTCAACTGTTGCCAGTAATGTGAGAGGGCATTAAAATACCGAGTCACAGATTGATCACCTTGGAGAAGATCGTGAAGGATTGACTCGATCTCAAAGAGCTTGGATGTGTTATCCGAGTGAGAGTATGTCTCTCGAGCAACATCCCAAATACTCTTGGTTATGTCGTAGAGAAGAAAATTTTTGCCGATGTCGTTGGTTATGGAATTGATTAACCACGACATGACCATGTGGTTTTCTGCATTCATGTCCAGAATTTTGGGTCATCCTTGGTCGGAGCGACGACATCACCGGTGATATAGTCGTCCTTGCCTCTGTTTTAGATAAACATCATGACGGATTTAGACCACTGGAGGTAGTTCTGGCCGTTCAGTTTGTGACCAGTGATGAGGGAAGAAGTGTCATCGATTCCAGTTGGAACAGGGGCAGATGAGATGGAGGATATTTCTTCGGCGGAAGAAGACGAAGTCGTCATACCGAAGAAGATTGATTTTGCTCTGATACCATGAAAATATATGAGAGTACTTAATTTTATTGATTAAAAGAGGGATATAAATATCCATTACAGGACTTACTGGTAAAGAAAACAATAAAAACAGAATACAGTAAAAAATAAAATGAATAATAACAAAATATAAGAGACAGATAATCTCTCTAATTTAAGGAGAGAAATAAATTGAGATTCCCAAGATCCCTCATATAATTTATAACCCTCTAAATATAGAGTTATAACAAATATGAATAAAATTATTAGTATTTTCGAGATCTTTCAACACCTTTAATGAAATTGATAATCGTCGCAAGATTGGTGACTATTGAGGTGTTTTGACATTGGAGGAGATGGCCTTTCTTCAACATTTAGGTAGCATAGTCGATCAAAGAATTGTGCTCAAGGTTGGAGAAGGCATAAATTAAAGAGAGGAAATAACATAGTGAGGTAAAAGTTAGAAAAGTATTTGATGTTAAATATTTGCATCCCATAGATGGAGTCTGAATGTGGACTCTTGGTGGAAAAATGCATTGCATTGCTTTGTAAAGGTAACGTGGAATTAGGGTTAGAACTTCCGTGGATTGTTATGCGACCGACATTTAAGGTGAGAAGGAAGCTTGACCAAGATTTGTAGAGGAATATTTTATTTGTTGTAAGCTATTGGAAACTGAATTTAACTATTTTTTTAAGCCACAAATAAAGCCTTCAATTGTGCAATGACTTGAATTCAATATTGTTTAAACCATGCAGGTGCCAATCACATGAATGGTTGACCAATTAATCTTATCTCAACCATCTATCAGCTAACTTCCTAATAACCTCTAATCAATAATTACCAAGCAACTTCCAACTAATTTTTAACTCATTTTGTTCAATTTTAGATAACTTTTAACTAAATTTTCTCATGAAAAGTTACGAGCATGATTGACACTTCCTGATCAAGGTTATAGGATTTGATTTGATATTCAGTCATAAGTTTATGAGGCACTTTTTGTGTTGTATTGTTTATTTTGTTTTTGGACTAATATACATTTATCTCATCATGATGAGAGAATCAAGTGACGTTTATTTTTTTACTGGAATAAGCATAAAAAAAGATGCATCAACTAATATTGATTCAAATATCGGTAGAGGATCCAATCCATCACTTGCAATGATTCAAGTGACGTTTTTTTTATTTATTTATTTATCTAGTGCTGTTCTTATTTTCCAATATCCCATTATTGTGCTATTCATTTCTCATAAGTGTGCTCAACTAACGCTATGCTTTCCTTGTATCAATGAGTATCCATTGGTAGGATATAGAGGTGGGTCTTGCAGTCAAAGGGATATAAATCCAACAATGAGAATTCTTTCTCAACCTTAACTTTGGTTCTTGAGTTTGGAGGTAAAATTCATATATAAACTCTGCAAATAGTTTTAAGAAACAAATGACCAAGTAAAACCTTTTTGTGTATATTTTGAGCTAGACTTACTAATCAATCTTGTCACTTTTGGCTTGTTTACATTACAAATTTCACATTTGAAATGATTTGATTGAAATTTATAATTTGATCTTCCTGAAAATTGCTGTCAGATATTTATTGGGGAACAGTAAGCTTGATTGTCATTTGACAAAGATACTGATTGTGAGGTGAGCCATTTGCTTGATAGAGACTCTTAGAAACTAATGATTAGGTGGGCCAGTAGCATATGGTTGGATCTTTCTAGTTTCTGTGGTGGGGTGTGCAACTTAAGCATAACGCATCAAGTAGAGGAGCTTATATTCCTCGCAAATTATTTTTATACATTTCAGTATCGTTTAACGCACTGTCATGGATTAATGGATTATCTTTACATTAAACTCTCTTGAAATATTGCTGCCGCAAAATTAAAATTTTGATTTAACACTCTTTATTACAAATGCTATCCTTTATGGAGTTCAGCTCGCTTGGCATGCGCATTATTGATTTAAACCGAAAAACCAAATCAAATCAAATATTTTTGGCTGATTTGGTTTGTAATAACAAAAACAACAATAATAATAATATAATGTAAAACAAATGAGAAGATCCATAAACATTAAGTTCACTTCAGCACAAAATAAACACAGAAAAGAGAGACTAAGAAGTCAGTTCATGTAAAAAAAATCAATAAAAAAATTGAAATTTATTTTAATAAAATTTACTTCTAAAATTCAGCTTAAACCATTTTCTAACACTCCCAAACCAAGCTAGTTCTTGTTGACCCCAAAAGCGGCAGTGCAATCCTCAACTTAGATGGCCTGAAGCAGAGTTGAGGATGTGTGGTACATTAGTACCGCTCCCCGTTTGGTTGGTATGCTGGCTAATGGGAGGAAGAAAATGATGTAATATTAATTAAGAAAAATTCAAACAACAGAGAAAAAAATTGAGTACGGGCAGAAGATGAATTTGTAGTGGGAAGAAAACTGCCTTTTCTGTTAAAAAGCACTAAAATGTTATGGAAAGATTCCAAAAGTTAAGAAAGCCTCATCATTAGCAATGGTGCTCTGTACATAAGGCCCACTTCTTTTCCAAAATCTGGGCTCCATTGAGAGAGGGCTCTGTGACTTTTTTCAAATTAGCCTTTTATCATTCAAGCAGCTGAGAAAATAAAAGTTCAAAAACAAAGAGAGCAACAGCCATTAAAACTGCGAGATGCATCTTCTATGGCAGGCTCCGAGCCTTTTCTTCTGCTTCCTTGTTTCCTCCTTCCACAGCTTGCCTATGTCCTTCGCAATCCTAACAGCATCAACGAAAGCGCCGGAGAGCCCTTTCTTCGTGAACCCAACAGCGTAGAGCCCTGATTTCCCCTTCCAGCTGTTGGGAAATGGCTGCTTTGGTGTCCCATCCTTTGAGAAAAAGTCACTTCCCTGCAATATTATATCAGAAACAAGCATGTTTAACAATCTTAGTTCCAGCAAGAAAAAAAAAAAAAATCAAAATTTGACAATCTTGCCAACCAATTTGTATGTAGATCTTATATTATGTTTCAAAATTTTTATTTTTTTTTATTTTTTCTGTGTTTTCATTTTGTTTGAGGAAAACTAAGCTACCTGGAGCCATGAAGGAACGTTGCTGCGGTATCCAGTAGCCAGTATAGCTGAGTCAATTTCTATGATTCGGTTATCAACCAGCTCAACTTTACCAGGCAAGAACCTCTTCACCCCAGGAACAATGTTTATCTTACCAGTTTTAATCTTCTCAAGCGCACCCGTATCCAGAACAGGGGTCCTTCCAGTCGTGTTCTTGAGCTCCAGGGGTCCGGCGCAAGGCCTCCTCAACCCATACTTCTCTATATCCCCAAGCACTAGCCATGACAATATGAGCATAATCCTGTCAGCCAGCCACAGCGGCAGCCATTTCATCAGAAAAACCGCTAACTCGAAGGTCGACTTCCCATAAACCTCTCTCGGTAAAACATGAACCTGTGGAAGAAGATAATAACAAAGGATTCCATTCCTAAACAACTTCCCCGTTCATCAAAATGCGATTTTGAATGCATTAATATTAAAATTACGCACCGAGTTTCGGACCACCATGAAAGGAAACGCATTGTGATGGCATAGATCGAGGGAAACCTCCATGCCGGAATTCCCACAGCCGACGACGAGCACATGCTTGCCCGCATACTCCCTGCCGGACTTGTAATCACAGACATGCGATATACTGCCGCCGAACTCCGCAAGGCCTGGGAAGTCCGGCACAATCTTCTCAGCGTTTTCTCCGGTGGCTGCCACAAGCCTCTGCCCAATGTACTCAACCCTCGCCTGTCGGGCCCCCGCCGCCTCCTCCAGCCGTGACTCGCCACAGCCCGCTGGTCTCATCGAAGCGCGCGGACATGACGGCCTGGTTGAAACATGGGTGGATATTGAAGTGCTTGGCGTACGATTCTAAGTAGTCAATGAACTGCTTTCGGGTCGGGTACTTGGGATAATCTTCGGGGAACGGGAGGCGAGGAAGTTGGCAGAATTGCTTCGGGAGATGTAGCTTTAAGCGGTCGTAGGTGCGGCGTTGCCACAACGAGGCAATGCAGTCGGCTCGCTCTAGGATGACGAAGGGCACGCTCTGTTCTTTAAGGCAGGCAGCGGTGGCCAGGCCCGACGGGCCCGACCCTATTATGATCGGCCCATTCACCCACACGCACCTGCGGGAGGATAAGTCTGAGCCGAAGGTTTCAGTCATTTGGGTGGCCATGGTCGGAGCAGGAGATTGGAAGTGAGGGAGAAATGGTGACGGAAGAAGCAGCAGAGAATGCAGTACTGGTGTTGTGTTTTGATGTGGAGTGAGGAGGTAGGGGAGGGAAAAGGGGGGATTTAAATAGGCAAAGGCTGCATGTGATGGGAGTTGAAGTTGGTGCCTTTGATAGGGTTGGGTCCTCGGCAAATGATGAGGCTACAAAAACCGGGCAGCCCCATCCATTTTTTAAGATCTTTAGTGCTCTGCATGGATTAATTATTTCTAGTTTAGGATTATATATATGGGAAATTTACATGCATACCACACAATTCATTCGTATTTACATATCTAACATGTAATGTTTAATATTTATATTTATAACATGTTATTGGTGTTCTTCCACACTGCTAGTTGTTGGTGTTATTCCTTGACGTAACACTGCGGAAGAACACTCAAGTAATATCCGCTGTGTTATCGGTGTTATTTCTCTATTCGCAGTGTTATTGGTGTTATTTCACAACGCTAAATAACACCGATAACACTAATAATATCACGGAATAACATTGAGTAACAACCACTGTGTTATCGGTATAATTGCGTCGTCTGCGGTTTTATCAATGTTATTCTGCAATGTTATCGGTGTTATTTCGTGCTATTTGGGAGTTACTCAGGTGTTTTGCGGGTGTTTCTCGGGTGTCATCGGTATTATTCCGCAGTATGTGGTATTATTGGAGCGATTTCTTGACATTTTATATTCTATCGAGTCTATTTCGAGCCGAAAATGAGCTGAACACGAAGAAGAATATGTTAATCAAGCCGAACACAAATACATTGTTCACGAGTCATTTCGAACACGAGTCGAATTGGAACCAGCCGAGGCTTAGCTTGCTCAAGCTCGGCTCGTTTACAACCTAGCGATAGTGATATTTTTTATGTAATGGTAAAGATGAGCGTTATGTATGTAAATATGAAAGCTTAGGTGTTAGATATGTAAATAAATATCGTAAATTTTCCTATTATTATTATTATTGTTATTATTAAGTTCTTTGGCATGTAAATAAATATCGTAAATTTTTCTATTATTATTATTATTATTGTTATTATTAAGTTCTTTGGGAAGTTGTTTATTTCTCTAGACTGAAATTACATTAATTTATTTCTCATCACATGATGTTCTTTTGGTGAGAAAGTTGCCATATGCAGATTTGCTATTTGTGGATTAGGCCAATCACTTTCGGTGTTGGAGCTATCGGTTATCTTAATTTTGCTTGATACGAGGGATGATAAGGTCTTAATTATGATTGACTAAGCATTCCTTTTGCAGGTGGTAGTTACAAGTCGCTCATAAGTTTTGATTAGTAATCATGGACTTGTATGTAATATTACTTCGAACTTTTATTTATATTGGATTATTAAGAAATTAAGGCAGAACTTAGCCAATGAAGGTTCAAATGTCTGGAGGAAGTTTATGAAGATATAAAAATCTTATTAAAATATATGATTTGAGGGAAAGTTTTTCAAGTACCAAGAAATAAATATGGTTGTGAGGTAAACGAAGTTATTTTATATGTTCTAATTATGCAATAATGTAGAGTAATGGGGGAGAAGAGACCTATCCTTAAAGAGCAATTCTATATTGATTTTGATCACTTATGCATGGGAGCCATCGCTATCTTCCTTAAGACGTGCAAAAATAGGATAAGACGACGTGGTCAATGAACCTAACTTAGCAGATGCATCACAAATTTGGAGATATGGATCCATTTTAGTTGATAATTTGGGTTAATTTGAAAGTTTTTGTGGGAATTTACGTTCAAACCACCTAATTCTTATGTATTTACAAAGCATCTAAATTGTATTTCTGTAAAAAATTGAAGTTTAGGTCTGAAAAGAACTGGGTGGTACGCATGTAGATGTTTCAGAATATTTATACGTCAAATTGAATGGCTTCCAACGTCCGGTGTCGGTCATATGGTAATTTCTCTGTTGGAAGCCACAACAGCTCAAGTTTATCCAATTTTTGTATTGTAAACAATTGTGTGTATGCTTAAGTTCATCAAATGGTGCGCACATGTGTTCTTACCATAAATTGATGAATTTATTAATGTTTTTGAAATTATAATTATTTGTATATAATAATGTGTATCATTAAGATAATATATTTTTGTGACACTTCAACACTTAGAAGCACATGTCATTAAATATTTTTTAGTCCAAGAAGGCAAGCTTCTGAACCATCTTAGGATGAGAAGATTGCTTGATAGGAAACAAGCTATTAGTTTTTTTTTTTTTTTTTTTTTTTTATTTTTGG